AAAATAACTTAGTATCAAAAGGAAGTGGTATTTACAGTTAAAGAAACCCGTTACTTGGTGATCGAGTAGGAGTAGGTAAGGATCGACCAATTCTAAGCTTGTTTCTATACGTCATTTTGTCTTACACAATAAACTATCAAACGATGTATGAGTATTTGATTGCATTCATAATATCTTAAATCTATAAATTACATTAAATGAGGTCGAGTCAAATCTCATCTAATCTCACATTGGGGACATGGGGAGGGATCTCGGCAATAACAATCCAACGCGTTTTCGTAAGAAACCCACATTCTGAAACATCTCACGTGAGATTTGGGGATGGGGAGAGGGTTGAACAAAATCTTACGGCATCTTACCAAGGAGGGACCGAAAATTTGAAAACACATTTAACTATTTTATGGGCGCCCCGTCCGTTATAGACAAATGCTTAACATTATAAAATATAATAAATATGACTAAATGGTTCACGTGATTATTGAAATCGTAATCATCATCCAAATTACCTGACTCTGAACTTCTTTCACTTTCTTAATATGCATTTTGGGTGCACTGTTCAACTTGAATACCACATAATTCCTGAGTGTCGACCATATCTTCCAAATCAAGGAGATGGGCAGCAGAGCCACCATCACAATTATCCATCGGTGCTCCACCAGGATGTACTCCAAAAACGTCTCCGTTTCGATTGCCGTCATTGTGCCCTAATTGAAAAAAATAATTGCTGAAATTTAAAAATATGTTTTTTTAGTTTATACATCTACTAAAATAGTGGTAAAATTTATTGCAGGAGACATAATGGCTTAGGCCTTTAAGACACAAAAGAGACTGTACAATTGGAAAAAGTCCAGTCACCAATCGCCACGGAAAGTAATGGGACCTATGTGTGAACCTGGGTTAAAACAGGAGAAGAAATGAGTTTATTTCTAGTTAGTAAGAATCTAACACTCCCTTTCGCAACAGCCAGGGCGGGAGAAATTATTGGATGTTTTTAACTGAGAAAATGAAATCCAATAAAAATGATAATTAGTAAAACGAAAATACGTTGATTTAATCTTGCCAGGTGTGTATCTGCATACACATGCAGATAAATAAAGGTCTTAGGTAAACAATAAGGTTAATCGGTCATTAATAGGTACCTAATTAAATGAAACATTGAAATAAAATACAAAGAAATGTCAAATATTTTACGTCCGATAATTCCGTCCGTCTTTGATTAGGTAAATTATTCGCGATAATTAGGTACTATCTGTCTGCAGGTGTTTGAATGTAATACCTTCCAGAAACGACTATTTTGAATTGATGTAATTATGTATATAGATGCTTATTTCCATGCTGGGCTTGGGGGGCAAGCGCAATGAGGCACCGTAGCCTCGGCCCAAAGCAGGAGAAGGAACGGGAGGTTTTTAGTCAGTAACCCCCTTATTACAAAACAAGGTTTATCTTTAGTCCAGGTTTAAACCATTGAGTCGGGTTTTGAATTTTGAATCTTATTGTCATCTACCTTCAATTCGAAATACGAAAACTGGCTCAATGGTTTAGTCCTAGACTAAAGTAAAACCTTGTTTTGTAATAAGACCGTAAGAGTCTGTCACTCCTCCCCGCCCGACCCTGAGCAGGAGAAGCCATTAGATGATTTTCCACTAACAATAAAAACCAATAGTTCAACGCTTATAACATGTGTCCAGTAGGCTAGTCTTCAAATAGTCGAATTCAATAAAATCTTTTTACGAAATGTTAAAATTCTATGAATTTTGTTCGGACGTGACAACTTTTTCGTTTCGTACAATGGATATTTCACGTAAAAACTTACTTTTGCTTATTTCTCTTAATCAATTGAGAGTCTTTGTCCAGCAGTGGACGTCTTCCGGCTGATGATGATGATGATAATGATGAATTGAGAAAATACAGACATTAAATATATCGTAGACAGAGAATAGAGGAAATATATAGAAAATTGCAGTTTTAAAAGTTTAAAATAATTTATTTTTGATTATGGAAACCCAATAACTACTATCAACCTCTTTTTATAAATAGGCTGACGAGATGAAAATGGCTATTTAAAAGGTTCTGGTTGATTAGCTGCTAGGCTTCAAAGAAGCGTAAGAGATACCTTACATTAATTATCTCAAACAGTTCAAACTGTTAATCGATAACCGAAAATACTGAAATCACGTTATTCGAAAAATCGGATTTTTACAATTTATTGAATAAGATTCAGAGACTACACGGTTGGTGCGGTGGCTGGACAATTGGCTGCCGCGCAACGTGTCGCGGGTTCGATTTCCGCACGGAACAACTCTTTGTGTGACCCACAAATTGTTGTTCCGGGTCTGGGTGTGATGTGTATGTGAAATTGTATGTTTGTGAATTCACCCACGACACAGGAGAAAAACCGAGTGTGGGGCAGCGCTTTTTAAAAAAAAGAAAAAAGAGACAACGGCATCTATCATAAGGTTAGTTTTTGGGATGCGTCGATATTAAAATGAATGAAATATACATACATATATTATGCGGTAAGTATGTAAGAGAAGTGCTTATTTAATATTTTTATCTTAGTTTTTTTTTTTTTTATTCCAGGATTGTAATAGTTTATAGGTCTATGGATAAAAAAATGCGATATTTGCTGGGATGGGACATAGGCTAAGCGAGACAAAACGTGTTTGTTTTGTGCCTCACACACAGCGGTAGTGGAACGATCAGTAAAATTAAAGATTATTTTGGGTTAAGGCATCATACGAATTTACAGTTCGGCTGATGGTAAGCTATTACGGAGCCACCCATGGACTAAACATGGACACCACTACTTGCGTTGCCGACTCTTTGTGGGTTAGGGATTTTAGGATTTGGAGAGTGGGGCCTGGATGCGGTAAGATACTGGCCTCCCGTATTCTCGGGTAACATTGTTTCATACCGGTTTTCTGTGAGACCGTGACCATAACGCACCATTCGTGCCAAAGCATGGCTCTCCTACGATCAAGATGTAATTATTTGTTTTAAGTGAAATATTACATCATGATATGACAAGCAGAGATGCGTATTCTGAATTAGCCTTTCACACAATTGAAGAACAATAGGTGCGCGAACTCCGGCGTTCGTCTGGGCTTTGGTGAATTAAGCCCACTTTTCACCTGTTATTTATCAAAAATGAACTCTACATTACATTTCTATGACTTAGGTATAAGTACACACATGAATAGTGATATCTTTCACGCACAGTTATCATAATTAACTAAGGTTTACTCAGTTTGAAGATAAATCTAGCGTCATTTGTCATTATTAGAGAAGTTTACACAAATCATGTATTCACGTTTAAAAAAAACTTCTTGTTAAACACTGACGTTAAGCGTTCCGTTTCCGTCATATTTTGCCGGTCAACAGTTACGAAAAGGCCAGGAATAGGATTATTTAACCTTCCTCTTATAGCACCATTTTTTTTTAAACTTTAAAATTATACGTTCTACGTTATCAATTTCAAACCTAAATGTGTTTTTAATAGCAAAGAATTGTAATTTCGTATGAATTCAATTTGAAATTGTGTTCACATTTTTATTGCAATTTTCGCATATTGAATAAAATTTAACGATTGTTTTTTTTATATTTAATTATTATGCCAGTAGTACCTAAGTCTCTATGGTCTCGTAGCAAAAAAAAATGTAAAGGAGGAAAATTTAAATTACCTACTAAATGACGCCTTGTTGAGGGCGAGAGGGAGTGTCAGCCTCTTACTGAATAAAAACCACCCCGATCCTTCTCCTACTTGTGGCCGGTTCAACCCGTTATCCGGATGGCTTTTCTTTTTAAATATACCGCAATGTAAATGTAATATAAAATATTTTTAGAACATAATACTTCGAAATGTTTAATGAAATAAAAAAAATAATAAAATGTTGGTTTTTTATTTAAAATATTAAAGTTTGACTGCCCAATTGGTAACAAGTGCGAACACTGATTACAAGGTCTTAGGATCGAATCGAGTGCCGGTTAACCAAATGTAATTTTTCAAATGAAAAATTTAATACTAATTACATTTATTACGGTGATAAACTCATTAAATCAATTTGTCACAGTATCAAAAAAAATAAGAATTAGGTACCTATTATTTTGTCAATTAATAATTGTAGTTACCTAAGAATCTAGATTGAGCTAGACTTTGTATTTATTATATTTAAATTTCTAACCAAACTGGTTTCAAATTAAAAGTACTTAGTGTTGAGCAACGACAATAGCAAATTTAATTGATGTCTGTCTGTTTAAACATGCCATCGTTGTACATACCAGTGTTTTTTTAGAATCAACGCAACGTGAGTAAACAAAACAAAACAAGATTCTTACCCTTTATAATGAGGTAAAATATTCTTAAACTTCATCAGATCTTCGTGAAAACTAAAATAGTAATTTAGTTTCTGTAATTTTACAAACACTTTTTATTTTTTAATATTTGACACAAGACCGAATTGTGTTTTAGTCTGTGCCGACGGAGCTCTGCCGCCAAACTGAATTCAAGGGCACGAACATCATTTAGCATGCAGGACATCGATCTATTTAAAAAACAAGCAAAAATACACCTTATCCCATAGCCATAGAGAAAAAAGTTAAAATTTAGCTACCGGAATTTAAAATATGTTCTCGTAACATGACGTTTTAAATCCGAACCTAAATCAAAAATGTTTTATCGTAAAGATTAGTCAATTGTTATCTTTTAATTCGGATAATATAATTAATTACGCAAATAATGCGTATTGTTGCTATGTATTAGTTAACTACTTCAATGAATGAATTTAGATTAGAATAGAATTTACATAATTATTTTATTGTCATCATTTCAGTTTTCTAGAGTTAGTCGATAACCATTGTGTCATTGTATGGTCATTGTATTGTATGGTAAGTTGCAAAGACTATGTATTACCTACTTGAAAGTATTTTCTTATTACAGCATTCAGCCAAGTAATTGAAAATTTAATAAGAGAAAAAAAACTTAAATTTAATATATCAATTTAAGCAAGCGTCTCTCTTTAACTTTACTTATTGTACTTTAATTGTATATAGTTATATTAATGCAATGTTTTGAATAAAAATGTGACAAGCAAAAAATCTTCAGGTGGTTGCTCTTATGTATTAAAGTTCATTGTGTTTTTTATCTCCGGTATCAGCTGTTGTTGTCGTCATTTCAAAATGTGTGCCTACCAACTCTAAATAATAAAATGTTCTAGTAAACTTCTTATCAACAAAGATAAAGGTTTTGGACAAATAAAGTAACACATCTTAAACAGCAAATAAATTTAATATCACGCACATAAATAAAATCACTGTTGACATTAAATCAAACTAAATAAAATTATTTAGGTACACATATCACCAATTATGTATAAAATAACCAACAAATAAAACATTGACCAGGAATGTTTACCATAAGAAATAACACATCACCAATTGTAGTTTGTTCAAAACTAAATCACAGCTTACTCTTTGAGCCCTCATGTTTTACAGGTATCACAGTATCCTTTTTGACGATGGGGACGCGTGGAACAGAGATGATTAACAGCCCATCAGCGGTCAATCTGGACTTTATTTCCTCAATTCGACAGCCTTCTGGAACTTGGAATCGCCTTATGAATTGCCGGGCAATGTACCCATAGTCATCTTGTTTCTCCTCGTGTTTCCCTTCCACAACAATAAACCCATCAGCTGTTTTCACCGATATTTCCTCGGGGGCATAATCGTGCACCTTTATACATATTTCATACTTATCAACTCCACGTTTCACAACATTTTCTTGCTTCCAAGGAAATCCTTCTAACCAGTCAATTGAACGCAATAGCGTGTCGTCTCCAAAAAGTGGAGGTGTTTGTATCGTGGGCAGCTGAAGCATTTCGTATTTTTGTCGAATTATTCTAGAAATGTCATGAATTAACTCTGCGTCTTACTACGCAGACTCGCGTTACGCTAACAACCGCGTCACAATAACTAAACCTGTTTTGATATTTAGTACGTAAAAGTTAAATGCAGATGGCGCTTCATATAGGTTATAGGTTAGGTAACCACCTTATACTGTTTGATTGTATCTGTGGATAGAATTTAATTTATTTTGGCGGCAAACTTTAACGTTAGCTGTAAAGTTAGTTAAGTTATTGGACCGTTTGCAGTTATCTGTCTCAAGCTCCAAGCTTTTGAGGTTACCTCGCTTAGACCTTACTTATTGTAGATACGTGATTATTATTTTATTCTTGTTAAACAATAAAACGTGATAACATAAAAAAGATATTATAGGTAAGTAAGTATCACAGCATCAAAATAAATCTTAAAACCATAAAAACATGTACCTACTTATCTTTCATAATTTATAAAACTGTCGTTTGTTTAACATGTCGATACAGTTTAAGATAGATGTCGCTTTATGCGTCATTCATTGCTTATCAAAACTATAGGTACAGCTGAATCAGTTCCTTGTTGTTTCTTTTCTGGATACTCAAATCCACATACCTACCTTTAAAGTACCTAAGTTGTCGTTTTGAAAAAACTCTTTATCAATTATAATTTTGGATCAGTGATTCCTTGGAGTTGTTACCATTATAATCAGTGTAAGAGATATTGGATTGTAATTTTACTATTTTAAATTCCTATGAGATATGTGCTATGTATTTCTTATTAGTCCTGATTCCTGATGGATGTTGACTCTTAAAACCAATGAATATAAAAGTAATCATTATTCTCAAACCACAATTAATAATTCTGCCGGAATATGGCCGAGATTAGTTAAATCAAGCTCAATAAAAAATATGATTTTTAAAATCGATTTTTGAAATAGGCTTGACTTGTTTACGATATTTTGTTAATTCTCTGTGTGCATTTAAATAGGTATATGATGATGATTATATACTTGTATTTTATTCAGTAGGTATATAATTATTTATTAATAATGGTTAATTTTTCTCATGGAAAGATACATTTAGTGCTTCAAATCCGGGAAGAGCTCTGAGGATAGTCAGAGATCACTTACTTTTATAGGAACTTACCTTTCTCTTACATAGGAAGAGATCTTGTGGAATTGAACGAAGTAAACAATAAATATCGTTGTCAATAATCTACAGGTCTTTTTACTTGTTGTCAACTCTATTCTCCTACGATAATCATTATATCCCTGAACTTTATTATATAATCAATGTCACGCACTAACACAACTGATAACAATAACAATGTGGTTTAATTTTACACAGTTACACGAAAATGTCGGTGAAAAAGGTAGCGGTAGTTACCGGAGCTAATAAAGGACTTGGTTACTGCATTGTTAAAAAACTTTGCGATCAGTATAACGGCAAGGTTTATTTAACTTCAAGAGATGAGCATAGAGGAAGAAAGGCGTGTGATGAATTAAAGAAGTTGGGACTCAATCCGTTCTTTTATCAATTGGACGTCAGCAATAAGGAAAGTGTTAACAATTTTGTGAAACACATTCGTCAGGAAAATGAAGAAGTTGAAATACTGATAAACAACGCCGCAATTCTATTTTTGAAAGACGCGCCGGAACCGAAGAATTTTCAAGCGGAACAAACGATTTCCATTAACTTCACAGCATTGGTCGATTTCACGGAAGCCGTATTGCCATTTATGAAAAATGGCGGGAAAATTGTAAACATTACCAGTTCTTCTGGCCACTTATGTAGAATACCTTCTGAAGAATTAAGAAACAAATTCCAGTCAGAAAATTTGACTGTAGAGGAATTGAAGACTTTGGTCAATAGTTATGTTGAAGATGTCCAACAGGATAAAGAAATCGTTAAAGGATGGGGCGATTCTCCTTACGTAGTATCAAAGGTCGCAGTCAATGCCTACACCTTTATATTACATCGTAGATTAACACCAAAAGGTATTTATATATTTTGTATAAAATAAAGAACTAAGAACTGTATAGATTAGATTAATAATTTCCTTACGAAGTTATTTATATTCGAACTGACTCAAATCGCCAACGGAAATGGCATATCATTGCTCCCGAAATTTCAAATTGGAAAAAGATTCGCCTTTCGTTCTTTATGTTTTAAAACATGCGTGTTCTTTGTGAAAAGCCCTCATCGAATTGAATTGTTTGTTTGACACAATTTACCTACCTACCTATTCTTACTATTTTTGAGTTACTTCTGTATGATCATTGTATATGTAACCTATGAATCTATTGTACCTATTAATTTTTCCAGGCATTACTGTGAACTGCGTTCACCCAGGATATGTGATGTCTGACATGACGCGCGGCGGCGGGTCAATTACCCCGGATGACGCGGCCAACGTGCCAGTGCAACTGGCCTTAACCCCATGCGGTGCTGGCCTGTATGTCTGGCACAATGGCAAAGCAGTGCCATGGGACGGGCCAGATCCTCGCGTTTACATTGATGGAAGAACATAGCCAACATTTGGTTTGAAAAATACTTTCTTTTTAGTGACTGTACAGTTGAAATAAAACACTTATGGATGAATCAGTACCAAAAAATGTTTATCAAACACCTGTTCTCGCAGTTGTTTTTATCGATTGCATCTCTTCAATGCCTTGTTTGTATTGTGATAAAAGATAAGGATTGTCATTAAAAGAATGAATGTATAATTTCTTGCTTTAATTTTAATGATCTTTCTCATAGTTAATGTCTCAATAAGGTACAAATGGAACAGCTAGTATTGGCATCTCATTTTAATATAGAAAATATAATCTGTCATAACAGGGATATGATTTTAGTAAATATATAATATATAACGAATATACATATATAACGCTCAGGTGAACGCAGTAAAGAAGAGTAAAGAACGAAAAAAGAATTCACTCTAAGAAATATGATAAGTCATCAACCGGGGAGCGAACCAAGACAGAACGAAAATAAATAAATCAAACTTTTTAAATAAAACAAATAGGTTAATTTATTTTACAAATTCCTTTGTTATCATATTTCTCTCGTTAAAATATGCTCTTTCTTAATACAAAGATTTTTCGATCACATCACCAACGGAAAGAAACAATAATATTACTGAATAGAAAATATAATATCCGCCGTGGGGACCAGTCGAATTGCACGTGTGTGAGGGGGTCTACTTGGCGTCGATGCACTCGGCCGGGTGCTGCGCCGACTTGGCGGGCGCGAAGCCAGGTGGCAGCGGGATCCCGGCGTAGCCCACTCCCCAGCCCAGTTTCTGGCCCCAGCCCGCGCTGTTGGAGTTGGCCATGGGGCTGATGCCGCCCATGGCGAGGCTGGGCGCGGCGTGCAGCTTGACACCGTTGGGCTGCACGCCGAGCTGGTTGAAGCGCGCGAACAGCTCCTGCTGCTGCTGGCTGAGGGCGGACGCCCCCGCGCCAGCGCCCGCTCCGCTCGAGCTCGAGCTCGTGTTCACGTTGCTGACGCCTACGTTCTTGCCGAAGTTCACCGAGTTCACTGATGTCGACATTATCGCGGGGTCCATTTGAGTCCAGTCTGAGAACATGGCGCTATTTGAGTTATAACCTGAAAGGAATCAAAATACGTTGTAAGGACAAATATTACTCTTTTACAGGCATGCCCTGATTTACTTCTGAAGTACCGTCGTTCGCAAGGTCGTAGCTCGTAGTTGGTAAAAAAAATATATTTTATGGTGCCAAAACTAAGGCAATAATATGATAATGATCTGGTAAAAGAACCGACCGCTTATCAAAAATCTAAAAATAAATAAACAAAATAAATGAATATCAATTACTTTGATGGTGTGTCTGTTGTGGGCGAGGCTGTCCTAAACCGAATGCGTTCATATGACTGAAACCGGGAGGTGCGAGGCGGGCACGACGTACACGGTCCATATTATCACTGGAACACAAAAAAATAATAAACAATAAAATACAATATTTAAAATCCATATTCACAAAACCCTTTATCAAGTCTGGCACCAACCATGAGGTAAAGTGGTAAGTTTTTCTAAAATGTTTATGCTAAAAAGCAGATATGTCTTTACTATCTTATTACTCACCCACTAGAAACTGTGTTTTGCATCATTTCTGTCTCCATTAGTTCTGCGAACGCCTTCTGTGTTTCTTTGAAGGGGTCGAAATCTAGGTCATCGTCACCGTCGCCAGCCGCACGACCCCCATTACCTTCGTTACCGCGTATATTGTTCATTCTGAAAGTTATATTTTACTTACAATTAGCACAAAGATAGTAAATGTCGAAACCAACATTGACACCAACTAACTTCGTTTTTTTCTTTGTAAGTTTGTAAGTATTTATTATCATTTACTTTTATACCACTTGGCTTATAAACTTATGGGCCGCTTGGTGAAAATCAGTGAGCGTAAACCGTGGACGTCTGCAGTCATTAAGACCACTTTAGTTCAAATATTGTTAGATCTTTCACTAGTTGATAGTGGTAGTAATTGTACACGCCCGAATCGGGGGCAGATTAAGAGACGCTATACAACGAACCTTATGTACATTTTTCATGCAAATAAAAGAACTTAGATTTTGATATTTTTTAGACCAACAGTACTTAATTAATTCGATGAATACTAAAGCTCAATACAAGTTTATTATGCACCTCTGTTTGTGTTCCATCTCGAGCCTCTCTGCGCTAAGCATGTTGTGTGGGTAGTGGCCGTGGTCGAGGTAGCGCCGCTCCTCCGCGCCGCGCTGTAACTGCAGCCGCATCTGTTGTGCCTTGTGGAAGTCTGTGAAGAACTTGTCCATGTTCTCTGCTAAATACCGCACTTCATTCTGTAGAATGAATATAAAAAAAATATTAGTTGAAAGTAACGACAAACTCATATCAACATAAAGAAGTTTTGTGTTGAACATAGCAGATATCATATCCATAAAAAAAAATTTTGGATACACAAAAAAGGAGTAGAGTCGAATTGAAAACAAAAGCAATTTTGTGAGTAGGTTAAGCTATGATAAATACGGTTTAATGTCACTTACCGCCGACTGTGGTGCATCGAATCCGTTGACAAGGCCAGTCTGTTGCATTTGTTGTTGATTCTGTTGTAGCAACTGTTGATTGTGCATCATGAAGCCCATGGAGTTACCGCCTAAAGAGCTCGCCGACAGCGAGCTACCGCCCATAGAATTGTCTACGCGCATACCGAAGGGTGGAAGCATATTGGGATTTGGATGAAAATTAGCACCTGCACAAAAATCCGAAGAGTTAACCCGCGAACAGAGAGCGACACAAATGTAACAATGCGAGAATAGAGCTTACCTAATAATTCACTAGCAGATTCAAGTCCTATACTAGAAGATTGCATATAGTGTTTAGGCTCGACCATATGTTGCCTCGCTAGAAGCTCATTCTGTCTCATAAGCATCTCACTCTGGCTGCGGTCCCGGAGCAGGAGTTCTTTCTGGTCCATGAGGCCTTGGTTAATTTGACTAAGGGGTCTGTCGTTGGCGAGGTACGCGTCCAGCAGGCCATACCCGTTGAGGAGAGGTTTGTGCTGGGCGAGGGGGTCATGGCGTAAGTCGCTGCGTAGTTCGGAGCGCAGGTCGGGGCGCAGGTCGGTGCGTAGGTCGGGGCGCAGGTCGGTGTCGGAGAGCAGGTCGTGACGCAGGTCGTGTTCCAGCAGGTCGCGGCGCAGATCGCGCTCGTCGTCCAGCAGGGAATGCTTGTCGAGCAGAGAGTGCCGGTCTGAGTCCAGGTCGTCCAGCTCGCTGGAGAGGAAGCTCTGCGTCTCGCTATCGAACACAGACGTGTGCGTCGTCTGCGTGCTACTATATTGTTTGGTATCTAATGTTTCGGTATCGTTATTGTCATTATTAATACTATTGCTAGACTTTTGTTTGGATTTGTTGTCAGTTTTACTTTTCTTGCTACTTTGGCCGTTTGTGCTGTTAGTTTCCTTGCTTCTATTTGTTTTACTATCTGTGTGTGTGTCTTTACTTTGTTTTGTTTGAGCCTGTTGTTGTACCTGTTGTGTGGGACTGGAAGATTCTGATGTGCCGTTTTCTTGTGACTTAACTGGAAACATTATTAACACCATATTAATGATTTTCCGCGTATGTGTTTAAACCATTGTGAGAGGAGAACAGTATTAAGAAACTTCTCAGAATTAAAATTTTACAACCCAAAAACCCGTAGCTCTTAATCTTCATTATGATACAAAATAGCAAACTTACAGTAAGAGTGCATCTGTCAATTTACTCTGTATAGTAAAAAAATGAGTATGAACATCTAGCTATTAAGTAATGGTGTCATACCCGTAGTGTGTTGTGGCTTGGGACTGGGCTGCTTTCTGGCGGGACTATCTGAAGGTGGCGAGGACCCGAGGCTCGGCCAGGCTTCCTTGCCACTGCCATTACTGCCCACCCCGTTACTGCTGCCCGCACTGCTCGAACCACTGTTGCCGTTTATACATTCTTTTTTATTAGATCTGCAAGATATGCGACTAATAAACTAGAGGTTGGGGGTGCACTCTACAGTACTGGACTGATTATGTATGGTGTGACTGACATTCGATCAATACAGAGACTACGGTGCTAAATGTAGTCATTAATTAAATAAAATTCGTTTTACTGCCCGTTAACATAAGAAATATTTATAGATTACATATTGTTTAACCTTTTTTCAAAAAGGGTTATTATATTTTTCCATTATCCAATGTCAGTCATTCCCTACAAACTAATCTAGCCCCCAATAGGACGAATACAGCTAGTGTCTATTGAAAGTGTTTGTGATAAGTGTGTGACAAATGATTTATAAGGAAATGAATAATACTTAGGAATCCTAGAACATATAAACTACTAAACATACAACATGTAAGAAAAAAGTATGATCGCATTTTGAGGGTAAAATGTACTCATTATTTTTCTTGTTTGTAAGAAATTCTTAGTTTCTCATTAGGCGACAATTTATAGGTCTCCTAACTAAACTATGGGTAAGAAGCCTACTTAGGAGAGATTTGCTTGACTCTGGATATATTGTTTAAACGTTTTTGCCAGTATGGTAGCACCATACAAGTTATTTCGCGGTTATTTTAACATACAGAGTACATTGACCCCTAAAATGACATGGAAACCTTTTTATTACATGTTGTATACCGTTTTGTCAGCTGTATACGCCCGTAAACCTTGTTGAAGCAACGGTACTCACTTAGAAGAATTGACTACGTTTATATGAGAAGGTGTGACCACTGTAGTTGGTATAAAGTTCGACTGATTACCTGAAAATTTCAAAAAACATATATTAAGAATTTTCTAGAACATTTCTCTCGGAATATTCTTTAGAGAAATAATGATACGTACCATCTTTTGAACTGCTTTTTTCTGCATTCGTACTAGAATTACCTGGAATTTAAAGAGTGTTATGTGTTTAGTCGAATTATGATCATTGGTAAGTAATTTCTTGACATTGACGTCATTTGAATACGTTTCTAGTTTCTACTATAACTCCTTATTACTAGGAACTGATTACTAGGAATGAAACCTTAATTCTCTCAATAGAAATCAACCTTCCAATTCATTGGATAATTTGACGGTCGATGCTATATCTTACACGGTAATAGAAGTGGTATACCTGAACTATTGTTTTGTTTGTCGTCTGGTTTATCCCGCTGCGCCTGCAACAGCTGATTGTGTAGCTTTCGCTCGTACACCTGGTGCAGGCCCGCGTGCATCTCTTCTTTCGTGAACGACGCTTTCGGATCACCTGCAATGTTTTATTAAAGTTTTTGTAATTAATGTGCAGCTGTTTCAAAGATACCAACATTACACCCTATTGTTATTTAATCGCTTAACACTACTTGATTGAATATAATTAACCACAATTCAATAGTGAGATCTTTCTATCTTACTACCCACCAGGGATCAAAACTGAATTCTCTTATAGCAAATACCTTTAAATAAAACTGAATAAAAGTAACTTTTCGTTAATCTAATGATTTAGATAAAAACGAATAAAATTTTTCTGAGAACAGACTGACAGCAAAATTAAACAATATTCACATTTATAGAACTAAATAATGTACAATATACACACCTAGCTCGTGCAGATACATGCACTCTGGCTTGGGACAGGGTTGGTTTTTCATAAAATTTGCGCAGTACTTGGTGGTGCCTAGTGAGCCCTTCAGTACGCGCCCGTCCAACGTAACGTTGTTCACGCCTTGTATGGCGCGCAAAGCGTCCGCCGACGACACGTACGTCACATACGCCGACGCAGACGGACCCTGGAGGCAATAGATAGCATATTTAGTTAAATAATCACGTATTTTGGAAGTTTCAGGGTATAGCGCGCTCCAATCAATATAGTTGTTGTGTAAAATATAAATGTAAAATGCCATTATTGGTCCTTGAATCAAAAATAGACAATTTTAAAAGCCTTTTTAACAGTTTTTTTTTTTTTCATTTAAAACATGTTTAATCAAATTGTTGATCACGGTGTGTATTTGAAGCGTACTACCACACCAAGGCGTAGGACTGTACAATGCCAATTTCAAATAACAAGTAAATTTACCGTTAATACATTTGTGTTTTTTTTTGTTTGTGTATAAAAGGGACTGTTTGTAGCCGAGACTCTATAGAACTACTGCAAGTAAGCTTTAGTTCGTAAAACGACATTCCGGCTTTAAC